GGATCCTACCACAACAGGAATCATAACAGTTATCTTCCAAAAGCTAAGCAAAGTATTAAGAAACAGGAAAATTTCGCTACAACCAAACAAATGAGTGCTGAAATGATATTTAATATGAGTCATCCTATATGAGAGTAAATGTTTAACATTTTCCTCATAGATGAAGACAGGATCTAAAGCAACAAAAATCTGCTTCCACAGAAGGCTGCTGAGGATAGCATGGACGAAGCATGTAAGGAACGAATATATTTTAAGGAAAGTGGAAACAAAAAGAACCCTTTGTTTTAAAAATTGAAAGAGATACATAACGAGGAAAGCAGGCTTCGAAATTTTGGCACACTCAAGACATACTATAGGCAAGGAAGACAGTAACCTATCTAAGGAGGGTAAATAGATGTGCAAGTAGAGAATTTTTAAAGCATTTCACCCCAAGGAATGCGGGAGTACCACGCGCACGCAAGGGGTTACAGGGAGTGAGAGCAAGAGAAGTGTATCAGAAGATGTCGATTGACATTACATTTGAATATTTGAGGATTATAGCAATCAGGGAAGCAAGTAAGCGGAATGGAGTTTCACTGACGGGAAGTGCGAAATAAGAAGCTGTTGGAGTAGAAGAGACGGCTACATTTAACTGTTTCGACAGTGAAAGCGTAGGACTGAGACACCAACCTAGTAGCTCGCTTAAATTCATACAGTTTTGGAACCAGTGATAGTAGCTCGTCAGGGCAGTTGCCACGAAAATGCTTGTAGAAAAGACAGAGGGAAGCTACAATACATTTGTAAGAAAGTGACTGTAGACGAGATAACAGATCAGGACCTATCACATTGCATATCCGTCTCTGGATTTTGTCGAGTACCTCGAGATGAACAGCGGGAGCACAAGACCATATATGTCAAGAGTATTCCATGCAAGAACGAATGGCTGATTTGTAAATTTGAAGGATGGACTCAGGCGGGGATAAAAAACATCTGAGAACCAACTTTCCTTGCAGTAGATGTAGCTATTGATTCAATGTAGTTGTTCCATTTCAGATCAGTGAGACCGAGCAGGCGCAGAGAGGCGCTCTCATGGAGTTGGGCATCAGCCATTCTGATGGGAGGCAGTGAGATATCGTTAAGTGCTAGATAGAATAAGAAGTTGTGGAGAGTCATGATCGCCCACTTACTGAAGAGACACGGCTCGTAGAAGAAAAAAGAACATTGCGGCTTAAGTTCCTTCCAGGCTACAATTTCAACTCATATATAAAATTCCTTACTAAAGGCGCTTTAAAAAAATGGTTTCTCTATTCTATCAACCGAGGAAATATTTGAATCCTTCAGCCAGGCTTTATGCTTCTATCCCTTCAGGTGCTTAAATTCCTGAACTGTTCTTGAACAAACTGCTTTATTGGTAAATTCATTCCAGTTGTTAATGACCTTTAAGAGAAGCAATGAAAGCGGACATCTTGGTTGTTGTAATAAATTTATATGATCAATAAATAGGAATCCATTCAAAATCTCGAATGTTTCGATCAAATTGTCAAGAGTCGTTCTATCGTCTAAGGATATGATCTTACATAAATACTGTCATGTTTACTTACAGAAAACATCATCACCAGAGCCGCCCTCGGTATGATGATAAACTACATCCGGCAGCAAAGCCGCAATCAGGAGATTTTGAGGAGCATGGAACCATCTCTTCATTGCTGGTGTTACCAGGTTCACTCTGAACCGGAGTGGTAGCACCTGCTAGGGTTCCAGCAATGGCCAAATAGTTAACACCCAAACTGGGGTCAAAATACTATGAAAGTGTAAAAATAGGTTTTAGTACCAGCAATGAATTTTTAACAGAAAAAATATTACCTGCAATACATTTTTACCAGCAATATATTTTTGGAAAAAAATCATTATTACCAGAAATGCATCTTTCGGAAAAAAATTATTACCAGCAATGAATTTTTGATGAAATAATTATTACCAGCAATATATTTTTTACCAGCAATGCATCTTTCGGAAAAAAATTATTACCAGCAATGAATTTTTGATGGAATAATTATTACCAGCAAACATTTTTACCGGCAATGCATTTTTGGAAAAAAAAACAATTATTACCAGCAATACATCTTTTGAAAAAAAATATTACCAGCAATGTATTTTTGGAAAAATATTACCAACAATAAAAATCTTATCAGCATTAAATAACCCATTCAGGTTGGTATGCCGTAAAACAAAATAAACCAAAACAATGTATAATGAGATAGATAGATAGATAGATAGATAGATAGATAGATAGATAGATAGATAGATAAAAATATCACCAGAAATAAAAATCTTATCAGCATTAAATAAACCATTGAAGTGCTGATATGCCGTAAAACCAAACCTAACCAAATCATCGTCTCGAAAGGTGGAGAAGTGTAAATATCTGGGAATTGTTTTAACAGAAGATAGAAAATGCGACAGCGAGATTCGGACACGCATTTAGATTAACGTAATAAGCATTTCAAAAGTAAAGCAAGGTGCTCTGAAACGGAAATAATTCATTAGAAACAAAGAAAACAGTGCTGGATTGCTATGGGATATCCATCTTCTTATATAGAAGTGATTGCTGGACAATCTCCCCAGGGACGTGGAGAAAACTAGAGGCATCAGAAATGTGCTTCTACAGAAGGATACTGAGAATTCCAAGGACGGATTGACGAAGGAACAAAGAAGTTTCAATGAAAATGTCAACAGAAACAAAACTTATACTGAGAATCGGGAAAATACAGCTGAAATTCCTTTTTGTACGCAATTAGGAAGGAAGGCTTGGAAAATGTAACACTCACGAAACAGACTAAAGGCAAAATAAACAAAAGAAGGCAGCGAGCTAAGTCACAGGAAATTGTGGAGAGCCATCATCGCCCATGTACAGAAGAGATGCGGCACATAGAAGAAAATAATTCATAAATCAGGGATGACCTTTCTGGTTGGCATATTCAAGGATAGGTCTTAAAATTGATTTGGTGATATTGTGTGGAATATATATATATATATATATATATATGTGTGTGTGTGTGTGTGTGTGTGTGTGTGTGTGTGTGTGGAAGACCATATTCGTATCGACCACAAGTGCTTATATTTACCCAAACATTTATAAAAATGAAAGATGGCAGACAAAAGTTGGAAGAACAGTTTTTATTTTATACAAGGAAGATATGCTGTTATATATGAATAAAATGTCGCTGCTGGCACTTGAGTTCGAACATAGATCGCCAGTGAGAAAACACAAACGATCCCATTACTGTATAAAAAGTAGACCACATGGTCATAGAGAAAAATCATGTATGGGAGGTAGCGATACTTCTAAACGATCGTCATATTGTATCTATTAATATTCGGACGCTATAGTCTATCCTCATTACTATACGGAGCACTATTTCTATTCTATCCTCTATTACTATTCGGATCGCTATTTCTAATTCTAGTCTATTCTATTTATCTATTACTATTCGGATCGCTATTTCTAGTCTATCCTCTATTATTTGGAGCACTATTTATTCTATCCTCTATTACTATTCGGATCGCTATTTCTAGTCTATATTCTAGCACTATTTCTATTCTATCCTCTATTACTATTCTGGATCGCTATTTCTAGTCTATCCTCTATTACTATACGGAGCACTATTTCATTCTATCCCTCTATTCGGACTGCTATTCGGATCTATCTTCATTACTATTTCGCTATTTCTCATCCTCTATTACTATTCGCTGTTTCGTCTATATTACTATAGTCTATCCTCTATTACTATTACTATTCGGACCTATTACTATTCGGATCGCTATTTTCTAGTCTATTCTCTATTACTATACGGACCGCGACTCTCTTCTCTACGCTATTTTCTACTCTATTCATTATACTATATCTCTATTCCTGGTTACTTTTCGAGTGAATATTATAGAGCAAGTACTATTAGTGCGAGTGCTATTCGAAGGCGTCTGACACCAGTATTGTTCAACGGCGTTACTATAGTTGTATCTGCGATTACAAAGTCTCTACTACAACAAGCATTACGAAAGTGACAACGAATATTCGTTGACATCACAAAGCTAAAAATGTTTGAAAATATGTTGCGTGCCTTCTCCCCGACCTCGAAACAGAAAAGCTAGCGAACTTCATAAAAGTATGTCTTTACTCACAAATTTTGAAAGCATGTTGCACCCGATATTCTCCTCTTTTTTTTTGCATGTGCCACTCAAGCATCTCTTCAGGGTGTCGACTCTTTCGATGTACAGATTGGCACATCACTAAATCGCTGTTTAGACTCACATGACAGGTCAAACATGGCGCCTATTAATTGGAGAAGAAGAATATTTAGCCCATCAACGTGTTTCATTCAGGAATTTCAGTTGATCGCACATTAAAATCTTGTTTGCCTTCATTACAATATTTAGCGGTGTGATGTGAAGGTTTACCGGTTGGTTGTCCAAGATGGATTGGTTACCAAGGATAAAGAACACGGTGTATGCTGCTCTATTATTTACAGATATTATGAATTCAGAGTGTGATGGTTGAATCGCTAAACTATCCTCGCGTGTAATTTGAGTACAGTGACAAACGCTTGTGCAGAACCAGACACACTTTGAAACGGAATGATAACAGAGAAATGGTGCCAACCCATAGTTTATTGTCACGGATTTTAACCTTGTTTGAATAATGTCAAATTCTAAGGTCAATACGTCCCTACACGCAAGCCGCCATTCTGCCATTGGGTGGCATACTACTAGCGTTTACCGCTAGAGACCCTCTGTTCTTTCGGCAATTTTGCTACTGGCGGCCCACCGTTGGCCCGCTTATGATTTGCCGGTGGCTGGCACCAGCTGACCGCTGGCGTTGCCATCGGCGACCAGCCAGCGGGCCACTAGTGGCTTCCGTGTAGGGGTGTAGTTAAACATGACCACATCCGAAAAAAGACATGATTAAAATTCTAATTTTAACTTTTGTTAGACTGGCTACTGTCCAAGAAATTCATTTGTGCTATTTAACCCATACCGGGAGAAAAATATATTCCAGCTTTTTTTTCCAAGAACAATAGTGCTGAATGAACGAAACTTGAATTTCGTATGGATTTTTGGTAAAATTATTATTATTTTTATATATATATATATATATATATATATATATATATATATATATATATATATAGTGTATTTAGGCAGCAATCCTCTTTTATACAAGTTTAATTTAAAACGACTGACAAGGTAGAGTGGGTAAGTTTTTTTTTACTGAATTTTTCTTGTGTCCTTATAGACAGTTTACTTCATGTCTGACGATTGTGGATAAGCATGAAACAGACTTCGCCGCTGGGTGTTGACATCAATATTCACTCTCTGTCTCTCTCTCTCTATATATATATATATATATGTGTGTATATATGTGTGTGTGTGTGTGTGTGTGTGTGTGTGTGTGTGTGTAAAAGTGTATATAAACAAATATATATATGTATAATTATTTATATATTATATGCACGGTACTTATTAGAAAGCGCTCAATATCAGAGATAGAGCTAACATATTTGTCTGACGATCGCTCAAGCGTGAAACCCAGGATCACAAACTCACATCTATCCAACTAAATATATATATATATATATATATATATATATATATATATTGAATGATATAGTTATATATATATATATATATATATATATATATATATATATGGGATATAACGTCATCCACAGACAGACTGTTTCGCTGTTTACAGCTCATCAGTGTGGCTAGACATCCGGTTGCCTCTAGCTAGGATCGAAACCCGACTGAATTCTAACCACTAAGCCGTCGGCGCACGGTAGGGATGAAGGCGGATTTTTAGCATATTTATTTTTAGAAACATGCCCAGTGACTGACAGTGACTCAATTCACTTTCGTGAAGAGTCTCGCTATATAGCTATAATAGTCACTGTTTACCACCCACACCTCTTCCCCAGAGTGCTCAACTGAAATTAATTTCAGGAGCAGATATATATGGGATATATATATATATATATATATATGCATTCAAAACTTTCAATGAATATACTGTTTAATAAATATACCGAGCGTCTACTTAAATTTGTGTATCCATTAAAAATAACCTTTATATTTAGCGTTACACGTGTTTCTGCAGATATCTTTGTTTTTGATTTTGTTTTTTTAAACAGTATACTTATTGTTATACCCTGGCCTGTCTATTCGTGTGATAATAATTAAATAAAACTCTTAGGCCGGATTCGAATCCGCGTCCAATTTACGTAAGGGAAACTCTCATATGGCGCGCCATGATTTTAGACCCACAGTCATGAATCATTTTCATGATGAAGCAAAGAAAGCGCATATTTTTGGCCGAGCGAATGGGCTCGGAGATCCCACGTTAAACCGGCCTTGTGCCACATGATACCCTTGCGTGTGTGTGTTGGGCTAAATAAAAAAAAAAGATCTTTCTAATCCTATATCAATTAAGCTTCATTTTCAGATGCAAAATGTAAACAAAGTAATTTCTATGGAAGTTATGGATTTTTTATAATCTAACATTATTTATAATCCGAAATTATTATATATAATCCGACATTATTTCTTATTAATATAAATGTTATATTTTAGCGGATATAAATCTTTGAATAGAATAATTAGAACGAATCCAAAGTATCTGCTTTATGGCGGTCGGTGGGTTTCGCCTCGCGTCGAATAAGTCGCTTGATGTCAGATGGAAAATTCTGAAGGAATTTGCAGAAATTGTGCCAGGATTCAAGCACTGTTCACCGTAGAGAACACCAATGTAGACTTTATGTTTCAATGGTCCAAACTCTGAAATGGACGTGTGCTCGCACGTTGTAACTGTGGCATTGAATATAGTCTCACGTGCCAAATATGACATTATAAAAAAAACAGTTTAACACGTACGCGTCGAGATACAAACAAACATAAACACTATCGCCCTTGTTTATTTCGGACCAGAGTGACTTGATCTTCCAAAAGTCTTTTATCATATATTCTCCTACTTCTTCTTCTCTGTACCATGTCACTTCGGTACGTGGGCGATTATGGCTCTCCACAACTTCCTGTCAGCCCGTTAAATAGGTTATTCTCTGATTTCCTCTTTCTCTTAAATTCGACATTTCCAAGCCGTTCTTCCTCATTATGAGGCTTACGAACACATCACGTTGAAACACAAGTTTTCGTAAGAAGTTAAGCAAAATTGAACCTGGTCAGTACCTAGATGGGTGACCGCTGGGTAATACCAGGTGCTGTAAGCATGGATGTGCGGGTGGTGTAATGGATAATAGCCCGGAGTTTTTAATACGAGAGTCGAGTTCCAATT